CCAACCAGCCTCCTTTGTGCTTCGCCACCCCAACATTCACTCAATCAACCTGGTCAGGTCATATGCTGACCCAACATGACCTAATCAGTTGGGGGCAGCACCCAAAACACCTCGCTGCCCCTCTTACCCTAACCTCCAACCCTAATCCGAGGTTAGTTAGCCCTAACTAACTCGGATTTAGGGTTAGGGTGACTAACACCTCTCGGCAGCAAGTAAGTCCACTCCGATACCAAATGTTATGATCCTGGTCATGTCCGAAGTGCGAATTCATAAGGAAAGACAATGCCACCCAATTGCGAAAGAAATGAAAGCACTTGCAAAGAGATAGAGACCAAAGAAGAAGAAGAAGAAGAAGAAGAAGAAGAAGAAGAAGGAGAAGACGAAGAAGAAGAACTACACCAGCAAGACCAATGCCAAATCCCCCTTCTCTCTCCACCTTCTTCCTCCTCCTTGTCTTCGCCAATCTTATTCTTCTTCCAAATAATAATAATAACAACGAGTGGTTGAACCAGAATCAGTATCCGAAGTTCCCTCTCACTGCCAGCACAACAATAGGTCCACCATAGCCATGGCTTCCCCCTTCATCTTCCTCTCACATGCCAAGGCTATGGTGGAATACTAAGGGCTCTGCCCTTCTGTGCAAAAGACAACTCAAAGCAGCTATGGTCGCTGCTCTTCAGGCCGCCATGCCTGACTCTGCCTCGAAGCTTCCTTGGCGCGGCACTACCCCAACTGGGGCCTTCCGGATGCAGCGCCTAACAAGGTGATGAAGATGGTGTCCACCATAGCCAGGTAGGTACCTCGCCACTCTCCTCCGTCGCCCCTTCTTCCTCCTCCTCAAGGTGGGCTGCTTGCCATAGCCAGGCTGAGTCCCCAGCTCCTCTTCGTCCTCCCAGGCAACGCTCTGAGTCCAGCGCCCGCTCAAGCAGTATGTCGCCCAACCTTGCACACCACAAATGAGGAGGAGCTACTCACTCCTCCTGGAGATATAGCGCTCTACTTGCCTCTTGGGCCGTGACTTCCAGGTGTGTTTCTTGGCCTGATCAGTCTGGAGAGGACTTTGTGTGGGCAGTTTTTGTTTTTCGAGTAACTAGGCTGGGGGCACTCTCTGGTTCGGATAGGGGCTTTCTTTGCTTCCAATCAGTTCGGAGTAGGTACGTACGGTGTTCGAGCAGTTAGGCTAGGGGCACTCTCTGTTTCGGGTAGGGGCATTCTTTGGTTTTGAGTAGGTAGGCACTTTTCTTTGGGTCTTACTTTTTTTGTGTTACAAAACTTTTCCCGATCGTATGGTGGTCTTTTTTAGGGACTGGACATAAGGCACGTGGTCGATTCGGAAGTGGCTTGCTGGTTGGCGCCACTCGGGTTCTTTCTGGGACGGTGGGCTCTGTCTTTGGTCCTCTTTCGGGGTGCGTTCTTGATTCTTCTCGATCTTCTCTTTTTCCAGTTTGGCTGAGCAGCGCCCGCTTTCCGGTTGGCGTATCAGGCTGATTTGTCAGTGCTGTTTTCTGCGGTGGGGGCATGAACTTGGTTCTGGTCTTGTCCATGTTCTTTAGGCCTCTAGTTTCTTCTCCTGATATGCTGCTTGACTTATCACCCCACGTCCGGTGGACGTCTCTTATTTTCGTTTGTACTTAAGCGGTCTCTTCCATCTATCCAGTCCCTTTTCCATCTATCCAGTCCCTTTTCCCTGCGGCTTATTTGAGACCCCTGACGAGTTCCGGTAGGCGGCCGGACGAAACGCAGCGTCGGGTCGCTGCGCCAGTTCTTACTGTTTATCTTTCGATGTTTTTGGCGGTTTTTCACGATTAAATTCATGAACGGCCACAGGTCGCGTTTCGGGAAGGATTGTCTTCTTCTTCTTTCCCTCTCTCTCTCTCTTTCTTTCTTTTTCTCTCTCTCTCTCCTCTCTTCTCTTTCAATTGTATGACTTTGCGTACGTTGCTGTCTGACCTTTGCTGTTTGGCATGTGTCTAACTCGTGACTTCCAGGCCGCGCGGCCTCCAAGCAACCGGTACCTTCTCCTTTTCGGAGGGAACATCATTGCAGGCTCTGATATCGTCCGTAAAGGCCCTAGACTCGGGCTACTTGGACTGGTACCCGCCTACTTCTAGCCCTACCGCCACTGGGCCTGCTCAGCCTCGAGTACCCGACACATTTACTACTACTTGAGTGGTACCGGCCTACCTGCTACTTCAGTGTTTTTCCCCGCTGTTCTAAGTGTCGCGGGTCTACCCCCGCTACTTGAGTGTTTTTCCCCGCTGTAACCCTCAAAGTCACAGCCACAGGTAAGTACCGGCCATGCGGGGCCTCCAAACGAACAAGTACCCTTTACGGGTCACACAAACACTCATCCCGACAAGCACTCAGACAGGCATGCACACACACAGACTTAGAAAACTCAGCAGAATGCAGGAATCTCAGCAAGGCATACATTCCAGCAGCAAAACCCAGAAATCAGCAGTGTTCTCAGTCTGTGTTTTGGCGGGTCATTACAGGAAGGAAAGACGTCCACCCCATTGAAAAAGTTTGAGGGGAAATTGAATTTAATCAGCCAATTCCAGTATATACAGGTGCCAAAACATCTGAAAAGATGATTTATTCATAACGTATAAACTTAAATCAAGCCGGACGACATGAGAGCAGGACGGTAAGAGCAGAGTATTAGTATTTAGAACGCTTTTCGGGGAGAAATTCCCGATATTTTGCAGGCTGGTTTTCAACTTTTCAATGGTCTTCTATCTGAGGCTATAAGCTTTCATTGAATTCCATGCATATCAGCAGAAATTCTCCAAAGCTCTCTAGTTCGCAGCCTGTAGATTTTGTTACACGCCAAAGTTGACGACTCCTACCGGTTGTTGGTAGGGCTGCAGCGGTAGTTGGAAGGGTGCATGAATTTCAGGCAGGCTATCGAGAGGATGGGAAGCGGTTGGGAGAGGAGGGACCCATCCAAGGGCATGCTGGGAAATTCAGGCTACCAGGTCGGCAAAAGAAATGAAGTGGTGGATGGGGGCTGAGAAAATGACTGAGGGGTCTTCCGTTCTCCTTCTTCATCTTCTTTCAAAAAACGCATCCATATTCGGCTCACTTTCAGTGCCAGCTAGATACAGGCACTCAGAAATTTCTTGGAGCCCATTTGAGCCCTACTTTCAGGCAGTATGCGACCTGTCCAACCTTCTTCACCCAATAGAACGCCCGGTCAGTATAGCTGTATGTTTCAGTCGGCATACAGCAATAATGACCAGGTGTTCTATTCGGGTGAAGACAGTAGCAGTCCAGTTTCTTGGCCTTTCAGCAACCCCCGCGCCAAGGATCTGCATATGCATGGCACTGCCGGTGAGAGACCAATGCAGCAACTCACAAGCGAACTCAACAGACAAGGACCATAGCATTCACAGACTCAGACCACAAAATGGCACAAATGTAATGGAAACACAAGACAACCTGTTTGAGCTGTGCGAGGCCTGTGCACGGATGGGGTTCATGGTCCCTCTCTATATGGCACAGGTGGCTGCCACACGGATCAGGGAGCCCAGCATGCAGGCCTCACACAGCTCAAACAGCTGTGCCATGGCCATGGTTGGCCGGTCCACTGGAATGGGCACAGCGCGCCATGCGGTTGTCGAACCTCGCGAATGTATAGGCTCATACACCCTTGTGAGTATGCTGTTCGGACAGCATGCTTGAAACATGTGTCTATAGGTGCTGACCATTGGGACTGAACTGGGCTTACACTGGACTTACACTGGGCTTACACTGGGGTGACACCGGGGTTACAATAGGCTTGCACGGGAGTGACACTGGGTTCACAACTGAGCTAACACTCCACCCATCAGGCCTCAGCACAGCCTACGGGCTTCCTACCCGCGCCGTCGCAGTAAGTCAATTCTATCGGACAGGGGCACCCCGATAACCACTTCCACAGGCAGAGACGAATTTGGAATATCATCCCTCTTGCCCAAACTCCTTTGGCAGTTATGTCCCATGGGCCAGAGAGGAATTCGGAATATCATCCCTCATGTGCAAACTCCTTCGGCGGTTCATGTTCCTCGCAAAGTGGAGCATGGGAGGCAGAGAAATTGTAATGCAAAGCAGTTTACTGCTGTGTTAGGTCTCTTGCGAATGCTTACAAACACCTTTTGGCGCCTTGTATTCCTTATAAACCCCTGACAGCCCCCAATGAATCGCTGTACCTCTTGTGAACCCCTATTAACCCCCTCTTCAGAGTCCTAACGGATTCTTGTAAACCCTTTATGAACCTGTCTCAGTTGAAAAGGGTTCATAAGACTCTGTCTTGAAGACAGGTAACAAACACATTTCATCAATACTTAATTTTATAATTTTAATTTAACGGATAAGGCTGACAAGCTCGCTTAATCTTCATCAGGCCCTTCTGAACCCTGTTGTGCAAATCCCATAAACCCCTCTTCGCATTTTGTAAACCCATATGAACCCTGTCAGCCTCTTGTAAACCTTGCGAACGCCTGCCACCTCTTATAAACACACTCGGAGCCAGGTCCCATTGGTTCTATGCTCATGCAATGGAAGCACAAACCTGGCTACTATCACGGCCATGTTCATTCATGAACGTAGCACCACTGTGGCTGCACCCTCATCACGAATGCATACAAGCAATCTTTCTGGTTCAACGAGTCTTGATGAGGGTCTCTGTGTTCGGTGGGAGACAATAGTCATATATGGACTACCCACAGGGCAATCTTTCTGGTTCAGCGGGTCTTGATGAGGGTGCTCTGTGTTCGGGGGCAGAGTGTAGTCCTATATGGACTACCCACAGGGCTGTATACTGAGATATATTATCTGGTTCGGCGAGTCTTGATAAGGGTGCTCTGTGTTCGGGGGCAGACAGTAGTCCTATATGGACTACCCACAGGGCTGTACATCGGGATGTACTGTCCTGATCTGCAAACTTTTGCAGAAGAACTAACATTTGTGTCGCTTTTCGTGGGCTGATTTGGTGTTTGATCAACATTGATGTTAATCAGGAGAGGTGGAGATGCAGCTCAAGCTGCTAGCGAACTTCATATGGCACTGTCTGAGGTGAGGTGATTAGCATGGGGCATGCAATGATTTGTACACTGCTAGCAAAGGCATGGTCATATATGTGTATGTTTCGAGGTAACCTTGTTCATGGTTGGGTATTGACGAGAAAAGACAAGACACACAAGGGCCCGCGGAGATGGGATGGTACCGACAGCGCACGGAAAGGTGTAAAGGTGTGAGATCGCTAGGTGTATACGCCTTATACTTAAGGGTGATTTTGTTGTGCAGTGGAGCCATCAGCCTCATTGTAAGTAGGGATCTGTCTGCTGTGAATGTGTGTGTGTGTGATTCAAGTTCTTTGCAGCGTTTGGTGGAGTGCATTTGCCCGGTGCTTTAACTGTGGTCTCGACTTCAGGCTGTTGCGCGTGTACGGTTATCTTTCTTGATTGGTTCTATGCTATGTTTACATAGAACGTCCCAGATAGTTCGGTTCGGCACCCATATGTTCATCATGTTGTGTTTGTATTTCATCTTTCTGCCACAGGTTGTCATGTTGCCAGTAAAGTTGCAGAGCTCTGTTGCCGACTTCCCACCTTCTTCTCTCTTGCCTTCCCCCCTTTGCGTCACCCTGCCTCTCTCGGCCTCCCTCCTGCCTCCTCCCTGCCTCCTCCTGCCTCTCCCCTGCCTCCCCCCTGCTCGCCCTCCTCCTTTCTCTTTCTCTGATTGATGTTTCATACTATGAAATGTTTCTATCGAACACTATCTGTGGGGATTGGATTACCCCATCTCTCTGTGCACCCGTCCTCTGCCCCTCCCCTGTCCCTTTCTCCCATCGATACTGCTGCGAGGCATCTTGTGACTCCTTTCCCATCTTGGGCTCATGAGTTTTTGTGTGGACATGTTTTGGATTGGTCCAGTGTTGCCCGGTCTGTCGAACTCTCACAACCTACCTCTCTTGTCGATGTCGTCAGCATTCTCTATGGAATTTTCCTCCCCTGAGAAGGGTTCCCTTCTACTTCATTCAAGTGAAGTGGCACTCGTCAAATTATCTCAGTTCTCGTAACTCTTTTTTTTCTTTCTTTCTTTTTCTGAAAGGGGTAGACCCTAAGGTTGTTGTACTTATACGATGGCATGAGGATCCGAATTCAGGATTTGTTTACCAAGAGCTACACATGTGTACCATTCCACCGTAAGGCAGGTAGGCCAGCAACCTTTTTTTTTTTTTTTTTTTTTTTTTTTGCCATAATATTTGGACCATTTCTCGATTTATGCATGTCATCCTTGTGCAGGGGTCATGCTAATCTTCTGTGTATCGTTCCAATTTTAACGGATGTCCCGAAGAACAGGTAACAGAAATTCTTAATTTGGCAAATGCACCTTCCATTTCTTCACTGGCAGTGGACACTGGATGCACAATATTCAATCTATACCAGGTCAAGCATGTGTAGTATTTGTGTACTTCAGACATATTTGAAGGTAAGGTTGCCAAGGGCGGGGAGAGGGGGTCCGATTGCTGTGCTTTCGGTGCTGCCCATCTCCCAATTCCCCTCCAAAAAATTATTTCCACCCCTCCCACTTTCCTTGGAGCCTTCATCTGCCCCTTCCTCCCAGTTCCTTCCAGTGTAGGCGGGAAAACAGCCCATCAAAAGTGAAGAGCTCGGCAGCAGAACCCACTAATTTTTCAGCTGGCAAGTGTGCTCGATTGTGACTGAGTAGTAGTGTTGTTACAGCCATAGCCAGGTGGTTCTGGGAATCTACAACATCATTTTTTTTTTCCCCTTGGTGCTGTGTAGTGAGGACAGATCTGGAAGCCCCTGTGGACATCATACTTTCTCTGTTATTTGAAGTACTCAATTCAATTTTAGTCAATTATATATATGTTAATTTCGATTTTCACCAAAGCGTTTGATCAAGCGTGATTTCTTCCCTTTTTGCTGGCCAGTCAAGTGCAGAAACTGGGCCAACGTACATTTTCGTACCACCTACGTGACCGGACTGAAGCAACCCTATATGTGGTCTTTGTTGTCTCGTACCGAGTGTCTGAACACTACCGTAGCATCAGGAACTGGGGGCTGGCACACCTGACTATCGTGATTCTTTTTAAACCACCAGTGCATGGCCCCAGCCTTGCAGAAAGAAACTCGTCTCCACGGCACTGTAGCACCGGAGCCTGTGGGGTGGGGCCGCCGTTGATAGATTCAATCGGCGGCCTCCAAAGCGTTACCAGTCTCTGAAAGGGGCCTGTGGCCGATGTACCTTTCTATTTATTCAGTGTTTACAACCTACAGAGTCACTAACACACCACTTTGGGGATTATAGAGCTAAGTGGCGGTTTACAGATGTCACTTGGTGACCCTAAAAGGTGTCTCCAGTCACAGCCCCCCACGGGCTCGATATCGTTATGTGTGTGTGTGTGTGTGTTTGCATTCGTATGGGTGTAGTTGTGCATGTGTGTGAGGGGGTGTGCTTGTGTCTGTTAGTGTTCGGCGTGGATCCCTGTGTGGGTGTGTCTGCCATGAGTGACCGTATTGTTTCATGTGTTACGATCCTTTTTTTTTCTTTTTTTCTTAAAAAAAAAAAAAAAAAAAAAAAAAAAAAAAAACGGCTCCATCTATTCGTGGGGAGCGTCACCTGCTGGAAAACGGGTCCAGCGTCCCTTGAATACATCTTTTTTCAGAGAGAACGACTGAGAACGACTGAGAAAAGGCCTGCCAGCATTGATTGCTCTGGTGTCCAGACGATTAACTGTGCAGGATATTGAGCAATAAGGGAAACGAATGTTGCCATTGATGTTGAGAGCTAATTCCTCCTTCCCTTTTCTGCCCCCATACACCCCATCCTTTTCCTCCCTTTCTTCTCTGCCCCACCCCATTTGTTACTGCTTGAATGTACCTCCAATAGCCTGCCAGCCTTGATTGCCCTGTTACTTGATGATATGAATACAGAAGTGTATGCTGGGTAGTAGTGCCGCCTCTTCAGTCTGCCTCCGACTGCCAGATCGTACCTGTTCCCCTAGCGGCCAGCTCTCACCGAATGCCCATCGGCCCATGGTCCTGCCCGCGGGCTTGCACGCTCCGCTCACTCTGCTCCATACCATTGCATATCAACCATTGCCAGTCGGTGGGGCGGGAATGGGTCCGGAAATTCTGTGGGTAGTCGCAGCGGGATGTCCTGGCCCACCTCAGTCCAATCTTTAAAACAAATATAGTAGTCTTTGTTGAATTCCACCTGATTGTCCTTCTGGGCGAGCCTGCCCTCCCATCGGACGGATGCTATCCAGCCCCCGTTCACACTGCCCAGCCATTCCCCCGAGAATTGATGGATAGCCTGTGTTATGTCTTTTACTGTATGGAACAAATCAAGTTGGTTTTTAACTTTATGCCATTGTACCATGAGTTCTTGTTGAATGTATTGTTTTATCATATTTGTTGCCTCTTCCCCTGCTATGCGGACCCCCTCAATGTCATGGATACAGCGCTTTCTCCATAGGGACCACATAACCGCTCTCCTCCCTAACTTAAACATGTTGTTTTCGAAGGCATTGTCAGTGGGAGAGGTCCATGCCTCGCATAATATGGCCCTCCAATCCTAAGGTGTAAGACGGATTTTGTGCCCAACAGTGTCCAGATCCTGTCCCACCAACGCCATGTGAGAACAGCCCCCGGACACTGCATGAATATATGCTCTATGGTTTTCGGGATTCTGCGGGAGGGGAAGGCTGAGTGACACGACTTACACCATGGTAGCGCCCTCCCTTTCTGCTCCAGGTATGTACGATCTATTAGCCAGTCGTTGGTGGGCAGGCAGCGGTGTTCTACCTACCACTGTAGCAAGGCCATCCTCGTTGGTCTAGATCTTGTGGCAGTGAACCATCCGATGGGGCGAATCGCCTCGGTTCCCACATTCAAATGGGATTTCCTTCGAGCTTTCACCATTTCTTTTATGTTCACCTTTGGTCGTAGCAAACGATAAGCGGCCTTCACCGTTAGGGAATATAACTTTTTACTCTCCCCCGACCTGTGTTTTCGTGGAGGGGCCCATTCCCATTCCTCGGGGTCCAACAGGAGCTCTGCCACGGGGGTGTCTGGCTGGTATCCGATCCACACATACTTGTCTCGCAGTACTTGGATCTTGTGCAGGTCGTTGTTTCTTCACCATCTCATCACTTATGGAGCGTACCGGGTGAGTGCATTATCCTTGTCGATGTGGAAGAGATTAACCAAAGATTCGTCCGGTCGTACCTCCACCACATTACCTACGCTTTTCGGATCACCAGGGGCCGCTACCCAATCTCCTTCTGCCAACCGTGGCCCTTTGCGCAAAATGCGCACCCAGTCCAGGGGGATAGCAAAAATCAGCGATTCGATGTGTTCGTCCACATTATGACAATACTTTAGTGTAGTCCTTAATTGCTGTGCAAATTTCCAATCTCTTTTCTCTGTATCCCATATGTCCTTTATTCTGATTATACCTTTTTTGACCCAGTTGTTCCACGGAGTACTTGAACTACGATACACCCTACTGTACCGGTCTATTATCCTCCGGTTCCCAAACAGAGGTTGACGTGCCACCTCTTCCCACCTGGACGGTGGGGGTTTGTCAGGTAGCGGGAGTTTGCGTCAAAGCTTTCAACACGTGGACCCAGAAGTCGTCCCAGACCAGATCCAAGCGGGTTGTGTCGCGGCCTACAGCTTGACCCCTTCGAGGGGACCGTGGCACCGTCCAGAAGAGGTCTTCCAACCATGTTAGTGGGTGCACTCCCTGTGGATCTTGCGGAGCAAGTCTAGCTATTTGTTTCAGCGCAAGGGCCTGCCACGGGAGCCGTAGAGTGAAGAGTAACCTCCTAACCCATTGAATTGTTAATGTCGTGACGTGGGTATCTGGGTCCAGGATCCCCAAGCCCCCTTTATCTTTGGGTTGGATCACCGATGACCAGGCTACCCTACTAATTACATTCGAGAGTTCCCCATTGCCTCTCCATAGCAGAGCCGATAGCTGTCGTTTTAGCGATTTGATGGCCTCCTTACTAAGGGCCCAAATTTTGGATTTGTACCAGAGGGCCATCAGTACTACGCTGTTGATCGCCAATGCCCTGCCAACGAGGGAAGCGTAGCGGTCTTTCCAGTGGGCCAGCTTCTCTAAAGCAGATTTCAAAATTCATTCATCATTTGATGCAGATTTGCCCAAAGCCGTTAACATAATTCCCAGCACCCTAATTGGGGTTGTTTCTGGGAGTCATTTAACTCGTGGCTGCTCAGGGGGGCGTACCCCTTGGTGGTGAATCCACCACCCTAGAGTTTTATTGCTTTAACGGTCATGTCTGAGATTGTTGTGAACTGATCAAATAATCGCCTGATCTCTTCCATGTTTGCTGCGGTTGCATCGAGTACAAGTGTGAGGTCATCAGCAAACATCGAACAGATAGGGATCGCTTTTTTTGGGATGGCTGAGATCTGCAGTTTCCTCAGGTCTTTGTTGGCACGGAGATTCGCCGCCAGTACCTCCATCACAATAATAAACAAGAAGGGCACCAACGGGTCCCCTTGGCGGACCGACCGTTGCAGCGGGAATGGCGATG